CACTAAATACTTTACAAATATCATTTCATTTGATCCTCACAACAATCTTGTGACAGTTGAAGAAACCGAGGAAGGCAGAGATTATGTGACTTGCCCGGTCACACAGATAGGAAGTGTCTGAGGTCAGATTTGAACTCACAGGTCCAAGGTTGTATTCACCTTGCAACCTAGCTGCCTTGTGACATTGGCTACATAGGGCAGTGGTGTGTCATGGTGATGAAAACCCTAGACAAAGTTTTTGAAGGCCCAGATTAAATTGGGACTCTAATATTAGATGTTCAACAATGATGAGGTCACTCTCCAAATCTGTTTACTTTTGTGGAAAATGGCAATATTTATGTTACTTACCTCAGGCCTGTTTCTGAGATTCAAATGGGATAATATGTAAAATGCTATATGTGAACCGTTTGTAAGGGTTGAAAAATAAAATATGACTTATCTATGATACATTCCATTGGTAATTATGCACTAACTGCCCCCAAAGAGAAATCATTTGCCTTAGATTTGGGCATTCAGGATGCCTTCAAGGTGATTTTTTCCTACCTTATTTTGTTGTTCAGAGGGAGCTAAGTGGCACAGTGGAGCACTGAGCCTGGAATCAGGAAGGTCTGAGTTTAAATCCTACTGCAGAACTCATTTCACCTATGCCTCGGCTTCCTCAACTGTAAAATGGGGATAGTAATAGTACCTAACTACCGGGATTGTTGGGAGGATAAATGAGATAATATTTTCAAAAGTGCTTAGCACAATGCCTGGCACCTAGTAGGCACTATAAATGCTTATTCCCTTCACTTTCTCCTTAAATGCCTCTGTAGCAGATGGGCTAAGCCCACCAAGAGTGTGTTTACTTTGTACTCCTAAAACAGTCAAAAAGTGGACAATTGTTACAAATGGAGATCTAACATAGATAGAAAGACAGCCTGGGGTCAGAAGACCTGGATTCAAGTCCCATTTCCAACATAGGAGTGGTATGACCTTGGACAAGTCATTTACCTTTTGGTGCCCAAGGCAACTTCCTAAGACCATAAATGGTGGAGTATTTGCTGCACTGGTCAACCTATCACAGTTCTATTCTTCCCTACCCCCTAAAAAGGAAGGGGCTATTTGGGAAAATAGTTGCCTATCTATGGAGGTAGCTAAGCAGATGCTGGAAAAGCCCTTATTGGGAATGCCATCAAGCAGGTGTTCTTATCCTGGGAGCCACAGACTTCCTGGATTTCACAACCTGGATGAGAAAAAAAAATGCTATCTTTATTTTCACTTAACCTCTAAAGTTAAAGCATTTTCTTCACTTATGAACATAGGCAACAAACTGCAGTAAAATTTGCAGTCTATATGACTTTGTTACCAATAGAAATCAGATATTTTCATATTACATTGCAGTTTTTGCAGATATCTGGAAATATCTTATACCCTTGTCACTATTTGGAAAATATTGTAGTTATTCAACCTACCATTAGATATATGACTATACTGCAAATGTTTTAAAATATTTTCATAACTGTATTTTAATATAATTCAAACATGAAATGCATTTAATGCATTTGAAAACGTTGTGTTCTGAGAATGGTCCATAGGCTTCAACAAGACTGTCTAAAGTTTGTCCTGTCTCTCACTCTCACACACACACACAACACACACACACACACACACACACACACACACACACGGTTAAAAACCCCTGATGTAGGGGGAATATATGCTTTTCCTAAGGGTTTGTATTTGGTGAACTCTAAGGTCCATCTCTGGTTTGAGATTCCAGGGCAACCAGGTGGTGCAATGTATTGTATAGACTTGGAGTCAGGAAGACCGAAGTTCAAATCCCACTTTAGGCAATGACTGTGTGACTTTGGACAAGTTAATTGAACTCTGCCTTTCTTTCCTTATCTGTAAAATGGGGATAAGAATAGCACCTACCACACAGGGTTGTTATAAGGAGCAAATGAGTAAACATATGATACTTTGCAAACCTTAGAGTTCTATATTAATGCTAGTACATATTATTCTGTGACTGTTACATAAATGGACATATATCAAATGACAAATACTGACATCTCTGCTATGTAACTACAGAAAATGCTGACTTTGGTCAGACTGGCTCAGATTTACACAAGCAATTTTCACGCTCACAAAAACTGGGCAGTTTCCTCTAGTGATAGGGGAAGGCACAGAATGTATCAGATTCAAGGAATGCAATGAAAATGCTACACCAGCAAAAATGAAGACTTCTTGTCTTTAAAACATAACTTGTTTGCTACAAATTGCAAATGTTTTTAAATGCACAAAGCATTTTATTAAAAACAAAAAAACTCCTACCAGAAGACTACTTTGTAGACATATCTCAGATTATGACCTAAATCTTTGGAATTTTACAACTGGAAGGACTTTGGAAATTCTGGGACATGGCTCCATGCCTTCCTCGTGTTCTTGAAATTTCCACCAATAGTAAACAGAAAATTGAGCTGAATCTCTACAAAACAAACTACAAAAAGCAGAGTTATTTCCCTGTGGCCGTTGCCAAGTCCTGGCAAATTTGCCTTCAAAATATTTCTCTGCTATGACCCCTTCTCTCCTCTAACTGCTACTGTTTTGGTGCAGGTCCTCATCATTTCACTCCTGGACAAATGCAAAAGCCTTCAGTTTAGTCTCCTCACCTCAAGCCCATCTTCCCTCTAGCTAACAAAGCTGTCTTCCAAAAGCACAATCTGTCATCCTTCCTCCCCCATTTAATAAACTCCAGCGGCTTGCTATGACCTCCGGGATCAAATAAAAAATCCTTTGGCTTTTTAAGACCCTTCCTAACTTGGTCACTTCCTACCTTTCCTGCCTTCACTGCCCCCTTTGTACATCATGATGTGGTAACATTGGCTCCTCTGGTATTCCTTGCACCACCATCCATCTCCCCACTGCATTTTCACTGGCTATTCTCCATGCTTGGAATGCTCTTCCCCTTCACCCACACCCCCTGGCTTCTCTGGCTTCCTTGAAGTCTCACCTAAAATTCCACCTTCTGCAAGAAGCCTTTCCCAATCCCTTCTAATGCTAATGCCTTCCTTCCGATATTACCTCCAATTTACCCTGTAAATCTCTTATCTATACCTAGTTGTTTGCATGTTGTTCCCCTCTCCCTTTAGGCTGTTGAGCACCTGGTGGGGGGTGGGGGGAGGGAGTCCTTTCTCTGTATCCCCAGTACTTAGCACAGTGGCTTGTGCCATTTCTTTCTTTATGAATTAATACTTAGAATTTATTTAAGCACTTAATAAATGCTTTTTAACTGACTGCTGCCTTTGACTTTGCAGAATATTGTTTTTATTTTAACACACAGCATGGACTTCATACATATCTATCATCAGTGCCTTTACACCCAGACAACTTTAAAAGTTAGCAGAGTTTCTGCAAGTACAAAAATACACATTTATTCCATAACATATGGTAGTAAAATTTATCAAGATATATTATACAAACTCAAAGCATCTTAGATAAAGCATCAGTTTAATATATTATAAGATGACAGTATAATAAAATGACGTGTGTTCTGCCTGCGAATCATACAATAGGACACTTTACAGCCATATTAACAAACTATTCACATTTAAACATCAAGAGAACAGCTAAGGAAGTACAAGATAATTTATACCCAATAGGAATGGTTACTGAAGGGACTTGGCATCTAGCTAACAGTATTTCCTTCTATACTTTAAATCAGATTGTTGGATTTTTTTTTTTCTGTTATGAAATAAAGGGGAAAGATTGGAACTGTGGAACCAAATTTTCATAAGCAGAGAGCACTTTCTTTCCAAGAGGATATGACAAGCCACAATCACATTCCCATCCACAGCTTTGACTGCAGTGTTTCTTTATGGCAATGGAAGCCTCTGGTAATTCCACAGACATCATAGTAACTATACCACAAGAGACACACATGCACAGACACTTATGAGGCTTAATGTAAGTGGTCCTAGGGCAAAACTGGCATCCAATCTTTGATTGAAACTGCCAGTTTTTAAAGAATGGGGATCTTTCCAAGTTTGACCAGGTCAACTTGAGAGATTATGCTTATTGATGGGCACAGAATCATGGTCTTGTGGGCAAGGACAGGGCCACATCCTTAAGTAGAAAAGCAGGGATTTTGAGTGAAAGGGTTGTTATTTTCTGTCTTTGTATCCCCAGTCTTGGCATACAGCAGGTGCTTAACAAATGTTTGCTGAATTGAATTGAAATGAACAGAAGGAAGTTAAAGAATTTTTGTTGCCTTGGAGAAAACTCTGTTCTACCATTGAAAAATGCAGTCTGGTAAGAAAATATGTCTGATAGTAAATACCAAAGGAAGAGGTGCTTGCCTTGAGAAGTTTCCCCTTAACTGGATGGAGAAAGATCATGGGAAATGGCTAGTTCCTGGGCAAACAGTTCATGTGGTGGTAGAACAAAGTGACAAAATAAGTTCAGTGCAATTTTCCATGGGTAGGTATTGAGATGTGTCTGACCAGAGAGCCTGTCAATGGGAAGGGCGCATCATAAGGCTGAAGGGTTGAACCCTGTGGAAAACTATGGAGGCAGTTCTATTTTTGAGTCTGTTAGTTTCAAGGGGGGGTGGGGAATCTTTCTGTGAGTAAATGTTCACGTTGGATGGCAAAACTAGATAATGGGGCTGCCAGCTGAGGACAATGATGAGTGGATATTCTAGGGGAAGCCAAGTGCCCAAAGATGCAGTAGTGAGCCAGGTTAAAAATAATGAAGACCAAAACTTTCCTTTTCCATAAATTTGAGGTGGTCAGGATGCAGAAAAATTTGTGGGAATCATAAAGGCAGAGGCACAATTACTGTCAGAAAAGTAGGGTGTGGGGAGCAGCTAGGTGGTGCAATGGATAGAGCACCGGCCCTGAAGTCAGGAGGACCTGAGTTCAAATCCGGCCTCAGTCCAAACACTTGACACTTACTACCTGTGTGACCCTGGGCAAGTCACTTAACCCCAATTGCCTAAAAAAAAAAAAAAGCTTTAAGAAAAAAGAAAAGTAGGGCGTGCCTTCCTTCCCACCACTTTTGTAGGTGTTTGTTCTATTCCCTCCAACCCTCTCATCTTTGCTTTCAGAGACCCCATACACCCCTAGAAGCAGGAATTGGGACGGAACAGCTCTTTTTGGGTAAAGGTTTTGGAGAGCCTGGGAAGAGATAAGCCAGAGGCACAAGGAACAATGTCTTCAGGATTCTGAACAAATGATTAAGACCATGAGTGCAAGGTGAGCAGGACCAAAGCCATACATCAGCTTTAGGTACTGGTTCAACCAGATGCCATGAGTGGTTGCACATGTGAGTTACAAAGGATAAGATACCCATTTGATGAAACAAATGTTGATTGGGCACCCATTATGGTACAAGGCACTAACCTTGCTGGGAGCCCTGGGAGGGCTACAGTGAAGACCCCACCCCTGTCCTTGAGAAACCCACAGTTCAGGCACAGGAAGAAGACAAGAACATAAAAACCCACCAGTACAAAGTAGGATGGGATAAATGCCAGGAGAGAGTTAAACAAAGTGCTCTGCTGGGAAGAAGATGTCCACAAGGCCATGGAAGACAGGAATTCCTCTCCTTGATACCCTGGCCTATGAAGAACCTATTGGAATTGCTGTCTTTCTCCTCACAGCTCTGGCTTTTGGGGTCTTTGTGAATTATCAAAATACTCTCTTCTTCCTAATCTAACTTGCACAAAACCTGAGTGCAGCCTGGAACCTTGCTTTCAGTAAGAGAACAATGAAAGTGACCAAGAGTATGAGAGCAGCAGTTATCAAAATAAGTAAAACATCTTACTCAAATGGAAAGTAATTTTTTTTAAAAAAGTACTTTCACAGTTAAGTATCTTTACATCGAACTTTTGTGTACTTGGAGGGGTTGTTTATATACATATTTTTTTCCCCTTTCAATGGGAGGGTGAGGGTTCAAAACCTGGCTCTGCTATTTATTAACTGTGTGACATGGCTAAGTCTCACTTAACCTCTCTGGGTCTCTGACTCATCTATAAAAAGAGAAGATTGGACTAGATGCAGAATTCCTTCTAGCTTAAGATACTGTGACCCCATAGTCAAAGATGACTAGAGACCTTAGCTGTTACTGTCCTCATAGTGCCTGGATGGCCACTGCTCCCCTGGATTTTCTTCAGTTCCAGATATTCCTGCACCCTCAATCCAAACACCTTATGGAATAATGAATGGCTCCTGCCTAGTTCCCACCTAGCTTAATTCGCTGCTCCATGATCTTAGTCTTAGGCTACTGGTCACAAGATGTTGACGTAAGACTTTCCTCAACAGTGTGCCTTTTTCTTCAGGATGACATAAATATCTCAGAATGTACATAAATAGGGACTCATCTCACTACTGATTATAAAAGAGAAAAACTACCCAAACACCCCAGTGACCCAGTTTTAGAATACAGAGGAAAAACACATTCCCTCTCCCTCCTCCACAAAGGACTTTAATGCCTCTCAAAAAAATTCTTTTATTATGCTAAAAGTAAACTGTGGTTGTCCTTAGGCAGCCTACACCATGCATCTGATTAAGGAATCTGAACCAGCCATTCCAGTGGGTGTCACAGTCTACTTTGGTTAAATGTCTTTGGTTCTATGTCCCAGCCCATCACTACAAGCCACTGAAGTCTCTGGACACCCAGCATTGGGGGCTGGGTTCAGTACGCTCCCTACTGTCAAAGAGTAGCTGAGTGGGGGATTCTCTGGGGGTTGAGCACCAGGCAAACACTGGCTATCATTCTCCACTTCCTTGGTTGGCTTCATATGGAGTTTAAGTCTTTCATCCACTGAACTGATAAGTGAGCTACCATGGTCCTCAGAATTCTGGCAGTCATAGGGATTACAAAGGTCATCTGTTTCTACAGAACTGACTAGGTTGGAGGTTCTCAGGGGTGCAGCCACCTGTCTCTTTTGGAGCAGACTGGCTTCTGAGACTTCAGAACAAGTCGGCTGCTCCAAAGCTCCTTTTATAGAATTTGCTTTCTTTCTCTCTTGTCTAGGGGGCTTTGTCTTCTTTTTGAGGGACCAGTTTTTCAGAGTGGCCACTCCATTCCTTAACCATGTGCTAGGCTGAAGAGTTAAGGACTGCATTTGAGAAGACCACTCTACACTGCCTTTTTTAACACAATGTGGGTGGCTGCTGGCTGATTCTGGGGAAGGTTTGAATATCCCAGAAAAAGGGCTGCAGAAGTCAGGAGAGAGTTCTCCCTGTTTCCTTAGGGTTGAAAAAGTGAAATCAACTGGTGAAGAGGTTTCTGTGGGAATAAAGACCGAGTGTTCAGAAATCTGGGAAAAAGCACTATCTTGAGAGCTCACCGAAGAACCCGAAGGCGACGTGCCTGGTGATGACAAACTAGAATAGCTAGTTCTTGAGCAAGCAGTTAACCGTGGTGGAGTAACTGGCAACACCTTTTCTACATTTTGGTTTGAGGCATTACTCTTACCCACCTCAATCCCCATAATCAAACTCTGATTAATCAGTTTTTGACCTTCTACTTGCAAGGACTGGTGGCGCTTGAGATAATCCTCATCTCCAAGAGAGAGGCCAACATCACAGCTTGTCTTGTGTATGTTCTTTGGAGAAACCCCCCTGGGATAGGTGAGCTTGCAGTCTAGGTAGTCTATGTTTGGCTCTGAGCAGCGCCTGTGCCTTTGCAAACTTCTGAGTCCAAGGGTTGTGTTTGATGGGGAGTATCCAGAGTGATCAGGGCCAAGGGTCTGGCTTTTAGAATGATCCTGCAATGAAATATTACTGTAGGATGCCACAGAAATGGTCACAGGTTTGGATTTGAAGGGAAGTCTCACTGGAGTACCTTCATGACTAAAAAAGGCTTTTTTCTTCACGTTTTGGTTTGTGGTATTTTTCTTCTCCACTGCAGTGTGAGTGACTAAACTAAGCCCTCCTTGTGAGGGCTGGAGCTGTTTGTGACTGTCTTCATCTCGGTGGGAGAGAATAGCATCACAGCTGGACTTGCGGAGCTTCTTCTGATAGAACTCCCTGAGATAGGTGAGCTTGGAATCCAGATAGTCTATGCTGGGCTCAGAACAGCGCCTGTGTCTCCTCCAGTTTTTCAGAGCATCTACTGCAGCTGTGGATAAGTAACCAAATGTGTTCGTGCCAACTGGCACGTTCTTGGAGCAGTCTTGTGCTGAAACCTTACTGCAGGATGCCACCGGAATGCTCAATGGCTTGGATTTAGAACGGTGCTTCATTTGAATTTCTTCATTTTTAGGCTGGTCCAAGTCAAAATCACTCAGAGTTAAAATGCCTTCTGATTCAGGTTGGTCCAAATCACAGTCACTCAGCGTTAAGACAGAGTCCATGCTACGGCTGTCCTGACCCAGCTTCTTTACCAGGTCACTGCAAGGAGCATCTACATCATCATTCAGCTCATTTTCTAAGCTGTCATAGGAAGAGTCATTCATTTGGAAGCCAGATATACCTGCCAAAGAATTAAAACTGGGTTAACTTAAAGCTCACATAGGAAGTGCTTAATAAGTGCCCATCACAAAATCATACCGATAATACTGCTTTCCTTTTACGAATTTTGGAAAAAAAATAACCAAAAATATATCTTTTTATTTGAATTTTGTTTCCTGAAGCACTTTTCCAGACTTTTCCCCAGAAGGAGTAACTTACAATCTTTTGCATTTTAGTTGAAGAACTAGGACATTTTGGCGTTATTTTGGCAGACACACTTCTCCTAGTCCTCTGCCTCATCTCTGAGTTCTTGATTAAATGGGTTTCCCTTTAACAAGATTTTCTCAGTATAATAAAGATGAGTCATGAAGCAAAGAAAAAATAAAAAGCATAAGGTAGCTCATGCCAGAAGGGCCCAGGCACTGCCTATGTCATCTCAGCCTTTTGAAGGAGATGTTAACAGGTAAGTATGGCCAGACAAGCTTTATGGGGAGATGGTAACTGGGGGGTGTAGGGAAAACTATTCTGTAGTTTTATTAGCTCAAGAAGGACCTTGCAGAGAATCTCGTTAAGACATTTCATTTTACAGATGAAACTAAGATGCAGAGAGAATGAATGAATCATCTAACGTTACAGAACAAATGAATGTCATATCCAAGATTAATGAGAAGCTAGGTCTATAGACTCAAAATTCAGTGCTTTTCCTGACATATCATGCTGCCTACCTACTTCTCTCTTGCCAAAAGAAAAGATAAACAGGCCCTGCATTAATAACTGTTTTGGGGGAGGGCTATGTCTTATACTTCTCTTGTATACTCCTGAACAGCACCTCAGTAGGCACATAACTGGTGAATGAATTAAAGGTTTTGTGAAAATGTTGGTAGTCTGGGCTTCCGTCAATCCCATCCTACCCCTGCCCTTTCAGTCTAGTGTTTGGCCCTTTGAAAGTCTCAGAGCCACTATGCTTTCAGCAGCTTGCAGGCCCCCTTGATGGTAGAGCAGCTGGCTGATAGAAGGTACATTTTTAGGGAAAAAAAAAACAAAACAATCCAGTTATTCATGATACCTGAGGCATTGTCTCTGTCACAGCTGATTGAAATATCTCTCAATAGGGAAGCGATTTCTTCTCCAAATATCCTGCAGCAATTTTCAATTAGAAATTGTACAAGTAGAGAGACCTGTGAAAGAAAAAAACAAAAAGGAGATGGCATTTTTCATAGTCTGTGCACCTTGTTTGACATAAGCCTTCCCAATCTCATAAAAATACAAGCGGACAGATAAAATTCACAAGTTTCTCAGCGGTAGTTTGAGTATGGAGTAGAGACAAGAGGATTCAAGACTACTTTTTATTTTTAATCCTTAGACTCGAAACTATGAAATTATAGACTTTCTGTAAGATCTAATCTTGATGCTTTAGTGTCTACACCTATAAAATTAAAATGACATTAATGTACTTTTAGAAGGATAGGAATGAATTCATTTCCTATTAGTTTATAAAATACTGAGCAGATAAAAATCATTTTAATTCACCTTAGTATCATGGAGAATGGATTATCACAAACCTGGGAAGGAATAATGTCTGTAGTTTGGCTGAAGGGGGTGGAGAAAGCAATCTTTCTTACCCGCCTGGCCACAGAGGGAGTGTGTGTGTGTGTAGATGTGTGTCTGTCCATCTATCTATCTATCTATCTATCTATCTATCTATCTATCTGTTTATATCTGGCTTTGGCTCTCATTATGGGCTCTGTATGTATGTACGTATGTATGTATGTATATCTATCTGTCTATCTCTGGCCCCCATTGTGGACTGTATGTATGTATGATGCTTCCTTACTATGCCCTTGGACTATGTCTCAGCTCACACATAGCTAGGAGAACATCTAGAAATGGCAATTGAGTTTGTTAGCAATATCATTTGAATGCTCAGCTCAAGGGCCACATCCTACCTGGGTCCTTTCCTGATTCCCCAGCTGCTGGTTGCTCTGCCCCCTCCTACAAATGACTACACATCTATATTTTGCATACACTCACGTATACATGTCTTCCCTTACAGAACGTAAGTTCCTTGAGGGCAAGAACTGTTTTGTTTTTAGCCTGGCATCTGCAGCACCAAGCACAGTGATGAATGTTGAAAGACGACATAGGAGTGTCTTCTCTCCACAGTTCAGGTGCTATTCTACAGCCCTGAGCTCGAAAGGGAGAAATGACCCATTGCTATTACTATTGGACCTTCTTAACAACCTTTCTGTTGAAAGCTGGGATGAAAAAAACTCCAGATTAAATTCTATCTGGATAAATTACAACTTTTAAGTGATGATACATGTGTATATCCTAAATGTTTAAAAAAAAAATTGGTGCTCAGATTTAAAACACTGGGAATGTCCTTGGATGCTTAGGGAAGGATTAAATTCAAGGTACCTTTTTAGTGAATTCATTCTCCAGCTCAGGACTAGCAGTAGATGGTGGCCAAAGAATGCTGGGAGCAATGCACACTGCCAGATTAAAAGCTGTCATTTGATTGGATACAGATTGCTGTTCAATGCTATGCAACATTCCAAATAGATACCGCAGGAGAACGACATTGGCTCTAGGAAGCTGCTCCATTAGCCTAAAAAGTGGAGGAGGAAAAAAAGGTGTTCTTAAAGCAAATCATTTGGTTTATGAACTTTTTTTTTAAAGAAGAAAAGAGAACAGTGCATTTTTCATATGCTATGTTCACAACACAATGAAAGTGTGAAAGAATGCAGAAATGTCAGTGTTGTAAAATTACGCTGCCTGGAATATTTTTCTGAAACCAGTATAATGTGGTTTAACTTAGGTAACATTTATTCACAACTGAATTTTTACACACACACACACACACACACCCCAACAACAATAGCCCTGTAACATTCCAAAGTATGGTGAGGCAAAAAATTCACAAAAGCTTAGTGATGAAACTCAACAGCAATTAAATTTAATGTGTTACTTCATTTCCAAGGGAGCAACATTGGAATGCCATCTATGAGTGAGAGCCAGCCTTTGCCAGTTAATATTTCTAGGACTATCCAAAGAATTCATTCTTTAGTTCCTCCAACTCCTATAATCTGCCTGGGCAAAAGTTACTTCCCTTTCTTGCTCCACTTTCCCATGCGAGCCTGTTCCTCTGCTGTCACTCTGGGCCTTTCATTAAGCCTTCACATCCCAGGTAGGAAAATGTGATCCAGCTTCCTAGGGAGAATTCTGAACCCATATTAACGTGTAACTTGTAAATGGGACTGGAGCATGATCAATCTGTTTATTTGGACCAGCCTTCCTAACTGGTAACCGTCATTAGGGCCAGAGGGGGAGTGCAGAAGTCCTTGATGACATGTGTTCACTGCTAAAGGAATGTTGACACCTTTGGGACCAAACTTGATCAGTGGGGTTAAATGCTTTTATATGCCTGGATTGTGGAGGCACTGGTCCCCTAATGTACTACCTGCTCTGCAGTCCACCCTGGTCTCTGTTTTCAGTCTTCTGACACCTCCCAGCGACATTGGCTTCCTTACTGTTTCTCCTACTTCTCAACTCCAAGTATTGTCTTTTTCTTTTATTGAAATGATATTTTTATTTTTTCCCCAATTAGATGGTAAAACAATTTTAAACATTTAAAAAAATTTTTTTTGAGTTCCAAATTCTACTTCTCCCTCCCTCCCTCCCTCCTTTCTCCTCTTCCTGAGACGGTAAGCAATCTGATCTAGGTTACATATCCAATACCAAATATTTTCACAGGCCAACCTCCTCATTAGATTGTGAGATCCTTGAGAGCCTTTCTTCATATTCCCAGCATTTAGCACAGTGCCTGGCACATTGTTGTTGTTCTGTTTTGTCTGACTCTTTGTGACCCCATTTGGGGTTTTCTTGGTGAATATACTGGAGTGGTTTGCCATTTCCTTCTCCAGCTCATTTTACAAATGAGGAACTGAGGTTAACAGGGTTAAGTGATTTGCTCAAGGTCACACAGCTGCTAGTAAGAGTCTGAGGACAGATTTGAACTCAGGAAGGTGAGTCTTCCTGACTCCAGGTCTGGCACTCTATCCACTGCACCACCTACATGCCCTGCCTAGAACACAGTAGGTGCTTAATAAAAGGTAACTAACTGACTGACAACAAACCTATGGATGCTGATCTCTAAAGATCTGTATGATTCAGGGACACCCTCCAACTTTCTGTCTTGTGGCCATAGTTTTCAGTGATATTCAGTGACCCCCACTTTCAGCCCACCCTCCCCCCCAATTCTTTGTCTTTCCCCTTTCCTGACATTGGCTTCAGATCTAAAGCAGGGAGTTTCTACAAATGATAGTGGGTAAGTGATCAAATACTCAAATTTTCAAAATGCCTGAGAAAAAAATTATACTGAGCAGACGTATCTAAACAGCACAAAACATAATGCAGGCACACTAGCGACCCTTGTAGATGTTACACACCACTGAAAAGCATTCTTTGGAAAATGTGCCTTCAGGAAGACCTCTTTCTGCACACCAACACAGTGGCTGACATGAGTGAGCCAGTCTTGCCAGAATTTTTCCCCTGGATGGAGAATTTTTGGTGGTTAATGATCCTAAAACTCATAATTTTCTAGTTTTCTGGAGTCAGCAAAGACAAAGCTTGTCAGCTGATGAGGTCAGTTCCATTGGATTGTTTAGGTGTGGACTTTATTGATATCAGAAAGCCAGTAAGATGAGACTTCTACATTATTGATAGCCTTATGGATTTTGGTCACATATTATGTCTAGTGCAGACTTAAACAGCCAGAGGCTTACTGAATCAACAACAATGACAGTAGCCTCTCTCAATCTATTTTTTAAATGGCTTCTCAAGGGTTTGAAGAAGTGAAGTCTACTCTCTTTTTAGCAGACAAGCCTTTCCCTGCAATCCTCTCCCATTCTCACAGTCTCCTTTATCTTTGTGCTTTTTTGAGGAGCGACACAAGTACCTCTGAACTCTGTTTATCTTCTCTTCATCATTCCCCTGATCCATGATGCAGACCCACTCATCAAAGAGATCACATGAAAAAATACTTCCTGGAATGTTTCGAAGAAAATCCTTTATAAGAGAAAAGGCGAAAACAAAAATATTTTCAGGCATCATGTTTATGAGAGTACATAAATATAATAAAATTTTTAGAGAAAGTACTTTGCAGAGAGTTCAGTACACATACTTCTCCTGTTTCCCTCTCTCCCTCAGTCACTCAAACTCAAGAGGAGGCATTTGAATTTTGGGTCTTTGCCATGACTAATGTGAGCAAATAAGAAGATGCATTATTGTTTCAGTTATCATCTGAAGGAGAGGAATGACCAGAGTCTTGTAGGAAATCCTACTAAAAATCAACTGATTAAGACTTATCTATCAGGACTGTCTGGTTGTAAGCCTACTTATTTATACTACTGCCTTATTTTTCCCAACAGAAGAGATATACACATTATACATATTCCATCTCTCTCTGCCCCCACACATCCATCCTTTCATTACTAATCATTAGAGATTGAACCACTTCAATTTTTGCTCCCTTGCTGGGGTGCTGTGAGTACTACAAGGCACAATACTTGGGACAAGTACTGGAGAGAAAGGTGCTAAATAAAGGCATAATAAGAAGCCTGCTCCTGGATTTGAATGAGCTCCTCTCTAGAGTGAACAGCTTACAGAATTAGCTCTATTCTCTTAAAAAAAAAAAAAGCACAGAAGATTGGCTCGAACGGGGGAAGTATTAAACACACACATACATGTGCACACGTGAAAACACACAAACACACACACCCATGCGTTGCCACAAATTTCCTACTGTGTGTCCTCTAGATTGCTACAATGTTGTCCCTCACAAATTCTGGAGCCTGAATAGACACATCTGTCAAAATCAGAGAAAATGGAGGGAAATTTACATGCTTATAGTTGGATAGATCCATGACTAGACCTAAATGTAGGGCACTTGGGCACAAACAAGGCCAATGGAAATGCTGGCTTACTAAGGGGTGGCCTGGACAATTTACAACACTTCATAAAGTAAAGGTGGTGAGAAAAAACACGTAACTCAGACCTATTAATTTATGACACTTAGACTCTCCAGTGCTAGCCTGAGGAGTAGGTGTGGCATTGCTTTGTTAGTCTATAAACCAGACTACCACTGTCAAGGGTGTCACAGAATACTAGGCCCAGAATCCTTTGCTTCCATCTGAGGGTGATTAAGGAGCCTGATACTTTTTCCTAGTAACGCTGATCTCAAGAAAGATCTCTGGGGCTTTACTGCATCCATGCCCTAGTAGGAGAACAAATGAACAGGTTTACAGCAGAGGTGTCAAACACACAGCTTGCAAAGCTGCCCACAACACTCCCAAGTGCAGCCCAAATCCTATTAAAATGTAATTGAGAAATATTAACAAAATAAATTAAATGACAATAAAATATAGATATTGTGAATATGTAGTTTTCTAAATCGGTATGCAGCCTGCAGGGATCCTTATGTATGGTTTAGTGGACTTCGTTTCAATTTGAGTTGGATGCCACTAGTTTACAGTACCCAAGAGGTCTTCTTGGTATTCCCTCCAACCTCTGTCTGGCCCCCAGAAAGGACTTCGTGTCCAAGTTCCCCAGCACCCTAAGAGAGGAGGGAAGCCATGAGACCTGAGTGTAGAAATGGTCATCATCTGTCCACAACATCTATTCTTTTCTTTTGTAGTGCTTTTACTCCTTGGTGTTGAAATCACTTCTGTAAATATCAGCCCGTGAATGTTTGTTTGGATTTTATTCTGTAGTGAAATCTGGCTGGATATAGCAGTGACTCACTCACTCTTTCTGATTAGAATTTGGACCTCTTTTCTCCAGGGTTCTTCTTTCCCTCCCATCATGCAGATTGCTCTCAGTGTCCCATATGTGCTAATTGGCTTATTCACCATTCATAAAATTGGCTTGCTGATTTCTTGGTCTATATGTCCACATGGATGCTGAGACATTAGAAGGCCCTTGGGAAATGTGATAGTGGTTTGGAGCATAGGAATATGACACTACGATTCCCAAAGGGGCCTCTCATTAGGGTCTCCAGGAATGACCCCATCATCAAACATTTGTTTTTAGGCTGGTTTTTTTCCTCTTCCTTACCAACCTACTGTTTCCTGAGTTGTGGTCAATGAGCTCAGATGGTTAGGTCATGGATCAAAGAAGATATTACGTGTAAAGTGCTTTGTCAGCCTTCAAATACTCTATATATGACAGCTATTTTTCTTATATAGTCTTGATGAACCTGGCAGCCAGAGACCTACACAGATCCATACTGGCCATGGAGTATCTGTGTTCTGCCTACCTCTCTAAAGTTACTTTGAATTTATTTTGCATGTAGTTTTTATTTACTTCTCTGTGTGAGTGTCATTTCTCTCCCCACCCCACCCCTTAAGCAGACCCTATGTTCCTTGAGAAACTTTTGACCTTATAGATTCAGGGTCTAGCATTGGGCCTTGCATGCAGTAGACACTAAACAAATATTTGTTCAGAAGGACTGAATTGACAATCTGTATTCCATGGCCAAAATCATACCCAAGGATGGTTAACCACCCAGAAAATGTGTGCTCCTGATTACAGGGTGGGTCTAAGGCAAGAAGAGTTGATCTGTGGATAGGTGAGTAAGGATTAATGCACTGCAAGTAAGTCAACCATAAGGAAATGGCAACCTGAAACACATGTCTTACTGTGAGTCTCACATGCTTTAAGGAGTGGAGGAAGCATGGAATAGTAGAATGTACTTGGAGTTTGAGAATCTGGGTTCAAATCTGCCCGTGCTACTTCCTAACTATGACTTTGGGCAGGTCAAAATCTCTCTGGGCCTCAGCATCCTCAGCTATAAAATGAGGAGGCAAGACCAGATAACCTCTAAAGTTTCTCCCAGCTCTAAATGTATGAGCATTTTATCTTGCATAAGTCAATCCACTGTTAGGTACTGTAGTGACAAGAATAAGGCAGCACTTCTACTAGTTACATTACGGTCAGACCTATAGTTAGGAGGAGTGTAAGCAAATCAGACTCATTGGTGGAAGCAGGGAGAGGGTATAAATGATGGCATGAACCCACAACAGTAACAGACTGGTTTGTAGTCTAACAAGGTGATTATTTTTGGAAACAGGGACCTAGGAAGGCAATGGTGAATCCAAACCATTAGATGTATGGGTGAAAAAAAACAAAAACAAAAACACAAAACTCCCTACAAAACCTTTAATTTCACCCCATGTCCCACCTAATCTTTGATGAGAGCTATTCATGGGCAACAGGAAGTTATAATTTCTTTCGCTGTATTCCACCTTTGGAAGAACCCAAGACTGGTTCTATCATTGTAGAAGTAGCACCCTTCCTCTCTTAAATCTACCAGATTTTCAGGAACACTTGAAGCATTAGGTATTTTAAGTCAGCTTTAGAAAAGATGCAAAAAACAAAACAAAACAAAAAAAAAAAACCACAAACCCGCAAACAACTTTTACTCTGAAGAAAGGGAATGACTCCCCATTTCAGTTATAGTGGAAAACATACTATAATCTTTCTTGAAAAAAGCACCATTAAACCTAAAACTCAGACTTGAAAGATAATGACTTGTAACATCTCAATGAACTCTGCCACAGCTGGAATAACAAGTTATGAAATTCAGCTGCCATCACAGCTGAGAAGAGGACCTGAAATCAGAGCCAGGCTTTCCTAGCGGGCAGGTCCTGAATTAAAATCCCTGAGCCACAGGACCCAGCTTCCTCCTCTCCCAAAGCAAAGCCCAGGTCACCAGAAAAACTTTCAAGTTCACATGAGAGCCCATGGTGGGAGGGAGGAGGGTGGTGGATGTGAACTTTGGCTAAAAGGTTTAGTGAATCAAAGCCATGGGGTCTCAGACAACTCTCTTCCAAAAACAGTTTGATGCCTTAAGCTTCTTTTTAACTAAAGGCAGTGCAACTGATATCTGATGGGAATACTTAAGGACCACTTCAGGATAGTTTTTCATTTTTTATTTAAGGGGAGGCAGGTGGGAGAAGGGACATGTAAATGGAAGATGTCTGCTTGGTTTCACAATAGTCGGCTTTTTAAAAATACCACAACCATGATTTCACTGATATAGGGAACTCTCACAATGCACAAACTTCCTCTAATAAAGCACATTAGCTACTATTCCTGCAACTCATCACCTGAGTTAATTATTTGGGCCAGTTTGAGTTTAAGTGACTTTCCCAGGGTCATACAGCCAATATATGTCATAGATGGGACCAGAACCCAGGGCTTCCTGACTTTGAAGTTGGCTCTCTAGCTATTGTCATGCTGCTCAAAATAATAGTGGTAGCAATTATAACAGTAATACGACATAATCCAGAAGCATTTATTTAATGCCTACTTTATGTTGGCACTGTGCTGGGCACTGAGGACTACAAAGACAGAATATGAATAGTTCCTGCCTTCAAGGAGCTTATATTTTGTCAGTGGATGCCACTTCTCTGCATGGTGCTTTGTTGCTTTAAATGGTTGAGCGCTAATGCATGCGTAATAACTCCAATGAGTTCAAATGAGAAAGAGTTCAAATGTTATTACCCACATTTTACAGATGAGGAAACTGAGGCTCAAAAACCTTACATGACTTTTCCAAGGTCAAAAAACTACTACATGACACAGCCAGGATTCAAATGTAAGCTTTCTGATTCTAAATGCAAAGTTTTTATTTTCCTCTTTTAACAGCCAATTTCCTCATTTCTTAGAATTGTAAGTCTAGGGTATATTTTGTGATCACTACATGTACTTTTAGGATGGGAAGGGACTTTAGACCCGATCTAACCAACCACCTCATTTTATGGATGAGAAAACTGAGGCATAGTGAGGGTTAAGGGACTTGCCCAAGTAGCAAGTAAAAGAGCCAGGATTTGAACCCAACTCCAGTCCAACTATTACAAATTCGCCATCAGCTGGACTGATTTCAGGATAGGTGGTAATAATTATAGGACCAAGGTTGGAGTCAGGACTGGGGTCACTTAACCCTCTTTGAGCCCCAGTTTTACATCTGCAAGATGAGGAGAGGCAGTGCGGAGTAGAGAGCTTGG